GCTTGCTGACAGTAAGGCTACTGTCAAGGAGTCAGTTAGACACTCCAAGTGTTCCGGGTAGAACTATTCTACAGGGCTTCTTTTTTGTTTGTAATTTACTTATTTTATGTGGTTATGCCTTGGGCATAACCCACTGAACTTCAAGGTCAGTAGTTTAAAATCACCAGCCAGCTCCTTGGGAGAAATACAAGGCTTTCTATTCCTGTAAAGAATTACAGTCTTGGAAACCAACAAGGGCAGTTCTACCCTGACCTACAGAATTGACTCAATGGCAGTGAGATAGGATGTTATTGGTTGTAACCTTTGCAGCAGATTGCCAGGCCTTTGTTCTTTAGTGCCTCCTTGAACCACCAACTTTCAGAGTAGTTTAGCACAAACTGTATGGCACAGAGAAAACCAAAAAGATCTGTTCCTGTCCTGTAGATTCCGACTTATACCAACTCCATCGAAGATATACAGACCCATGGGATTCCCAAGGGTAGCAATCTTTTGAAAGAACATTCTGTCCCTTGGAGAGGCTGGTGAGTTCACACCAGCAAGTTTTCAGTTAACATCCAAGTGCTTATTAACCACTGGCACCACTAGGCCTCCTTTGGATCATACAATCACCAAAAAGCAAATTCAGTGCCATCAAATCAGTTGACCACAGCCATTGTATAGCAGAGGGCAGAACTGCCCATGAGTTTCTGAGGCTGTCAATCTGGATGTGTGCAAAAATCTTATCTTTCTCCCTTATAATAGAAGTGGGTGGGAACCATCTACCTTTTACTTAGTAGCTCTCAATACATAAGACGCACTGGGCTCCTCTTTTGGCACATAGTTGGTGGTCAATAAATAAAGAGAATAGAGCACATCCTCACCCACAGAGAGCAGATTCCTGTAACTCTCCAGCATCACGTCTCGGTACAGGTTCTTCTGCTCAGAGCTCAGTGTCTTCCATTCTGCCTCCGTGAGGACCACAGCGACATCCTCCAATGTAACTGGCTCCTAGAATAAGCAAGACATCAATGCAGTGGATTCCCTCAGTGCTTACAAGGAGCATTTAACAAGCAATCTTACAGAGCCTGCATTTGAGGAAGCTCGTTTAATTCACTCCAGAGACACAGTTCTTGTCGCGAGTTCTTTGGTCATGACTGTATATCTGGATTTACAAGGAACCAAATGGGATGCCAAGGAGAGGCACCATGGGAGACCAAAAACCGTATCCTTAATGTTTTATTTTTTTTAAATCATTTTATTGGTAGCTAATACAAATATTATATCATTTCATAATTCAATCACATCAATCAGTATTATACAATTGTCACCAGTTTCAAAACATTCTCTTCCTTCTTGAACTCCTTGATATCAGCTCCCTTTACCACCTCCCTCCCCACTGTAACCTCAGGAACCCTATACCCTAAACCAAAAAAACATGTAAAAACATTTCAAGAGGGCTACCCACAATGACAAAATACATCAGTGATAAACCCCAATGTGAAAAAAACCAAAGAAACAGAAAATGTTGGAAACCAGATCAGGCCTGCCCAAGGTGTATTAGAGGGGGGATCAAGTGACAAGGTTTTAACCATTCAAGTCAGGTTTCTCATTTTGATGTGCTACAGTCATCTCCATAACGCACTCTGTTTGGTAACCAGTGTATTCCATCCCTCCATGATGGATAAAAGGGAAATCACGGGAGGCTGATTTCCTCTGTAGATCTCACAAATGTATCTTGGGCTTCCACTGTCATCCAGAGCCTTCTGCAAACTAGAATCTCACAATGTAGGCTCTGATGCTATTCCCTCCTTGAGGCTTAATGCTTTATGATCCTGACTTGTAATCTGTTAGGTTCCTTAATAAGCCCCATAATTGTATTGTGGGTGAGTTCTACATGGGTACTGTAATGGATTATTAAACTCAGCAGAGAAGTAGAATGCCATGGGAGAACAGTTGGCTTCAGAACAGGGTTAAGGTCAATGGAGCGTAGAACATGTCTGACCTCTGCCTTGTGGAACTTAGTCCTGCATTGTTTAGAGTTGGATTCTCCTTCTCCCTACTAAATCCAGGGAGGTCAGATGTAGCTTCCATGAATTTCCCAGGGGCTACCTAGTTTGAGGCTGACAATTTGAAGTAAAAGGAATACTCAAAATTTGTAGCTAGCAAATGTGGAGAAGAAAGCTGATGGTGCCCAGCTATCAAAAAGTATAGCTTCTGGGGTCTTAAAGGCTTGAAGATAAACAAGCAGCCATCTAGCTCAGAAGCAACAAAGCCCAATGTAAGAAGCACACCAGTCTGTGTGATCATGAGGTGTCGATGGGATTAGGTATCAGGCATCTAACACCCAGAGCAAAATCATATCAATGTGACTTGGGGGTGGGGGTGGGGAGAGGTGACCCAAAGCATATCTGTAGACAATTGGATATCCCCTGTCAGAAGGGTCACAAGGAAGAGACAAGCAAGTCAGGGTGCAGTATAGCACTGATGAATAATACAACTTTCCTCTAGTTCTTTAATGCTTCCTCCTCCCCACTGTCAAGACCCCAGTTTTACCTTACAAATCTGACTAGGGCAAAACATGTACACTGGTACAGATAAGAGCCCACAACACAGGGAATCCAGGACAGATAACCCCTCAGGACCAACAATGAGAATAGAGATACCAGGAGAATAAGGGGAAGGTGGGGAGTAAGGGGAAATCAATCACAAGAATCAACATATAACCCCCTCCCTCCCAGGGCGACGAACAACAGAAAAGTGGGTGAAGGGAGACAGAAGACGATGTAATATATGAAAATAATAATCCAATTTATCAAGGGTTCGTGAGGGAAGAAGGGTGGGGGAGGGAAGGAATAAAATGTGGAGCTGATATCAAGGGCTCAAGTAGAAAGAAAATGCTTTGAAAATGATGATGGCAACATACGTACAAATGTGCTTGACACATGGATGAATGTATGGATTTTGATGAGAGCTGTAAGAGCCCCCAATAAAATAAATTTTTAAAAATTGTAGCTAGCAGACAAGTTAGAGTTGGTATCATCTCAAACTTGCACCTAGAATTTGTACACTTGGCAGCTGAAAGATAGTACCTTTAAACTGTGGCCCAGTTTCAGGTGTCTAGGATCAGAGAAATTGGTGATGTGCTGGCAGCTGGTGCCAGAATATAATATTCCTGGAAATAAGACTGTCTATTATGGAAGCCTGAAATGATGGTACTTGAAACTTATTGTCACTATTTCCTCTATTATGCTGTTTAAAAAGATCAATAATTTAAAAGCAAAACATGCACAGTATATAAGGTGTCATCATTGATGCTGTCATCGTTAGGTGCCATCTCGTTGGTTCCATTCCACAGAAACCCAATGCACAGTAGGATGAAACACTGCACAGTCCTGTGCCATCCTCACAATTGTTCCTGTGCTTAAGCCCACTATCGTAGCTACTGTGTCAAACCACCTCATCGCGGGCCTGCCTCTTTACTTTACCAGGCATGATGTTCTCCACACACGGGTCTGTCCTGACAATACGTCCAAAGTATGTAAGACAAAGCCTTACCATCTTTGCCCCTCAGGAGTAATCTGGCTGTATTTCTTCCAAGACTGGTAGGTTTGTCCTTTAGCACATCAATATCCTGTAGTACCACAATTCAAATGCATGGATTCTTCTTGGGTCCTCCATATTCAATGTACACCTTTCATATGCATGAGGCAACTGAAAATACCATGATATAGGTCAGGCACACCTTAGTCCTCAAAGGAACATCTTTGCTTTTCAATACTCTTGACATCTTTCATAGCAGATGTACCCAATGAAACATGATCTCTTGATTGTTGCATCCACAAGCATGGATTGTGGATTCAAGCAAGACAAAATCCTTGACAACTTCAACCTTTTCTCCATTTATCATGATGTTACCAATTGGTTATGAGGCTTCTGGTCTTCTTCACATTGAGTCTTAATTCATACTCAAGGCTGCCATCCTTCATCTTTATCCTCAAGTGTTTTAAGTCCTTACTTTCTGCAAGCAAGGTTGTGTCATCTGCATATAGAAGGCTGCAAATAAGCCTTCCTCCAATCCTGATGCCACATTCTTCTTCATATAAGTCCGTTCTGATTTGCTCAGCATACAGATCAAGTAAGTATGATGTGCGGATACAACTCTGACACACACCTTTCGTGATTTTAAACCATGCAGAATTCCTGTTTTGTTCACACAACTGCCTCTTGATCCATGTACAAGTTCCTCAGGAGTCCAATGAAGTGTTTTGGAATTTCTACTCTTCTCAACGTTATCCATAATTTGTCATGATCTACAGAAATGCCTTGGCATAATCAATAAAACACAAGTAAACATTTATTATTCTCTGTTTTCAACCAAGATCCATCTGACATCAGCAATGATACCCTTTCTTCCATGACCTCTTCTGAATTGGGTCTGAACCTCTAGCAGCTACCTGCCAATGTCCTGCTGTAACTGTTGTGGAATGATCTTCAGCAAAATTTTACTTACATGAGGTTATCAATGATATTGTTCTAGAGTTTGTTCATTCTTCAGAATGATCACAAACACTGATCTCTTCTAGTCAACTGGTCAAGTAGCTGTCTTCCAAATTTCCTGGCACAGCTTAGTAAGTGCTTCCAGTGCTTCAGCAGTTTGTTGATACGTTCAGCATATCTTAAACTGAAAAAATTTAAGAAAAAAATCAAGCCTCAAGTTGCAATATTGAAAGATTCTATGGGCAAAATATTGAATGATACAGGAAGGATCAAAATAAGATGGAAAGAATAGTCACTGTACCCAATAAGACTATTTGACATTACACCATATTAGGAAGTAGCATATGAGCAAGAACCAATGGTGCTGAAGGAAGAAATTCAAGCTGCACAGAAAGCATAAACCACAAAAACAAGGCTCCAGGAATTGACTGAATCCACTGAAATGCCATCATTAGATATTATTTATGTGGATGTGTAGAGTAATTTAGAAGTACATTCTAAAATGTAAATAATCTGTTTTCCAGAAAACGCTCTGGGAAATGATCCAGCAGTTCAGAAAATTGAGGTGATTCAACTCACCAGTATTTGGAGCTTCCTCTGCTTTTTCTCTTGGGGCCAGTCAGTACCATGAGAAGACAACCCTAAAGGAAGAAAGAGAAGCCGTGAGAAAGAACCCTTCCTATGCTCCCTGAGTAGCTCTTTTCATCATGGAAGGAAGGAGGGAGGCACTGCACTCAGCGCTGACCACTAAAGGAGTGTCACCTGAACCTAGAGCCGAGGTCTCCTCTTCACTGCTCCAGACTCGTAACAACGAGTTTCTTCACAGTGTCCATATCTTCTCTGTTCTTTGTAGACAGAAGTCGGTGTAATGACTGCTCTGGAATTCTTCCCCAGGGCAAATGGATATGGTTTCGGTTAGAGATGGATCTCTGCTACCTGGGAGGTGATGTCCTCAATCCTCACTCAGGAAAGCCCCGCTTGCATCCTGGGCCTGTGGCCTGGAAAAGTAGTGTGATTCTGCTGGTTCCTCGATGGTGTCCTCTACAGCAGGATCCTTCCTCTCACCTCCTTTCAATCAACACTCACAGGTGCCAGTACACTAGGCTTCTCTGTCTTCATAAATTCCTGATTTAGAAGCTCTCACGTCTGTCTGACATTCCCCCTTTCTCTTTAATATTTACTGTGCCCCCTTTGCCCAACAGCTTAGATTTAAGTAGTGAGGTGAACGGACAGAGCAGGTCCATTTTCAGCAGACTGGACATACTGTGTGACCATTGTGAACCTTTACAAAGTGAGTGATGGGGACTGTAACCTGATGCTAATCAGTTCCTGTCACCCAGCCCCATGAAAGGGCCGACATAGGTGGTTTGTAATCAGAAGCCAGGATAGTGGCCACATAAAGTCAGAGGCAAACATAGTGCCAAAAAGACCAGATGTACATCACCCTCATGTTTGCCATCCCCTATTGGGACTCGTAGAATGGGACTGGATAAGTTGCCTGTCCCCTGAAACTCCAGGGCAGGTGCAGGGTAGGAGCTCCTTCTGTGACCCAATATGTTGCCTTCTGTTGGCCCCTGAATCCATAAGAACTTCTGGATCAGGTGCCTTATCCCCAAAATCTTGTAGCACAGCAAAGGGCAATGACCTGTACCAAATGTCTGGCCACCCACAATTCCCTCTTTGCATGCTGTCCTAACACACTCCTCCCAACCTAGTTTTTACTTTCCATTTTCTTCCCTTCTCCCGTTCTCTTTCCTTTTTTTCTAACCTGTTGAGTCCATTTTGCTTTTACATTCTCTTTTTCTGTTCTTTTTAACTCTATTTTATTTGTCTTTTCTTTTTCCCTTTTCACATTTTTTTTCTTATTTATTACCCCAGGGTGGTTTTCCTCCCTTTATTATTTTCTTATTTGCTCTTCTTTGCTATTTTTCCCTTCTTGTCACACCAGGCAGAAGAAAGCAACCCTGATCACAGTTCCCTGACACACTAGTACCTCCTGCAGCTGCTGTAAGGCCAAATTGCCTCCATGGCAGGCTCCGCAACCTCGGGTGGGCCTTGGTTTTATTTCTAGCAGCACAGAGCTGGAAGATCCTGGAGACTGAGGCTAGCCAACCCGGGACGACACGGCGGGCCAACCGCCAATGAGAAGATGGCACAGCCAGCGCGGGCACAACACAAAGGACCACAGACAAGCCAATCAGCAGGAAGCAGGAGGGATGGACTAAGGGTGCCCCGGTTATGTAGACCCTGTGTATATAAGTGACGACCTTTTCTTTGTTTGGGCTCTTGTCCAAGACGGTGCGCACGGTTGAGTACCTGAGGACTTGAGCCCTGGCTTAAGCTAGTACAATAAAACCTCTCTTGTTATTGCAGCCTTGTGTCTGATCTCCTTCCACTGTTGGGGTAAACGCTCCCGGTCCCCCTGAACTGCCACCTTGCTGGGATTGTAAAATAGTACAAACACTGTGGCAAACAGCATGACACTTCCTAAATGATCCAGCCATCCCATTACTTAGTATGTATCCCTGAGAAATAAGAAATGCAGTGTGAAGAGACATATGCTCACTTATGTTCATGATGACACTAGTCACAATAGCAAAAATATGGAAATAATCTTAATGTCTGTCCATGGAAAAAGGGACAAACTATAGTGTACACACAGTAGAATACCAGGCCATGTCCAAAAATAACTGTGGCTCTGTGGACAACTCGTAACATGAAGGAACCTGAAGGTCATCACACTAAGTCAATCACTATATAGGGGAAAAGAAAGAAAAACAGTAGCAGAATGTGGGTACTGATGAAGACACAAATCTTCCCCCTAGTCATTTCACAATCATAACTACTACTTCTCTAACATGGTATTTTGATTTTTATATTGGATGAGGGGGGGAATCAGATCTCACAGTGTTGGTAACTTACAACTGCCCCATAAATTACAGCAGTGATTAGTTTTGTTTTCACAGCCAGCTGCTAGAGTCCTGGGAATTAGCTATCAGGGTGAAACGCTCCTGGGGGCAAGAATGGAGGTAATCTGCATGAGAGGCCTGGTCTGGGTAAGATTCCCAGTAAAGACCTGTAAAGACCTTGAAACAGTCCTGTAATGTAGGCCTACAGGTTCCCCATCGTGATATTACAGAGTACAAGTGTCAAGGGAGGCAAAGGGAATGTGCTCACCCTTTCGAGCACAGAAGACGCTGTAGGTACGTAAAGGCGAAGTGGCTCCCTCCCAGAATGGCCTTTCAGCAGTCAGCTCTCCTCGCGTCCACAGAGTCCACTCAGGATAGGTCACAATGTGAGGTGGACCTAAGATTAAAAATGGTAGGAACCGCTTTTTCACAACGGGTTTGCCGCCAGAATACAGGTGTCGGTGAAAACCATTGCAAAAACCTAAGCCAAAATGGGAAAGGAGAAGACCTATATCAACATTGTCGTCATTGGACACGTCGATTCTGGCAAGTCCACCACACCTGGTCACCTGATCTACAAATGGGGTGGGATCGACAAGAGAACCATCGAAAAATCCGAGAAGGAAGCTGCTGAGATGGGGAAGGACCCCTTCAAGTCTGCCTGGGTCTTGGATACGCTGAAAGCTGAACGGGAACGTGGCATCACCACTGATATTTCCCTGTGGAAATTTGAGACTAGCAAGTACTATGTGACCATCATCGATGCCCCCGGACACAGAGACTTCGTTAAAAACATGATGACAGGAACATCACGGGCCGACTGTGCTGTCCTCCTCGTTGCTGCTGGCGTGGGTGAATTTGAAGCTGGTCTCTCCAAGAACGGGCAGAGCCATGAGCACGCCCTTCTGGCTTACACACTGGGTGTGATACAGCTCATTGTTGGTGTTAACAAAATGGATTCTACTGAGCCACCCTACAGCCAGAATAGATACGAGGAAATTGTTAAGGAAGTCAGCACCTACATTAAGAAAATTGGCTACAACCCTGACACAGTAGCATTTGTGCCAATTTCTGGTTGGAATGGTGACAACATGCTGGAACCAAGTGCTAATATTCCTTGGCTCAAGGGGTGGAAGGTGACCCGTAAGGATGGCAATGCCAGTGGGACCACACTACTTGAAGCTCTGGATTGCATCCTGCCACCAACCCACCCGACTGACAAGCCCCCTGCGCCTCCCTCTCCAGGACGTCTACAAGATTGGTGGTATCGGACTGTCCCTGCGGGCAGAATGAAAACTGGGGTTCTGAAACCTGGTGTGGTGGTCACCTTTGCTCCGGTCAACGTTACCACTGAAGTGAAGTCTGCTGAAATGCACCACCAAGCTTTGAGTGAAGCTCTGCCTGGGGACAATGTCGGCTTCAATGTCAAGAATGTCTCTGTCAAAGATGTTCGCCCTGGCAATGTAGCTGGTGACAGCAAAAATGACCCACCAATGGAAGCAGCTGGCTTCACCGCTCAGGTGATCATCCTGAACCATCCAGGCCAAATCAGTGCTGGAAACGCACCTGTGCTGGCTTGCACACTGCCCACATTGCTTGCAAGTTTGCTGAGCTCAAAGAGATGATTGATTGCCGTTCTGGCAAGAAGTTGGAAGATGGCCCAAATTCTTGAAGTCTGGTGATGCTGCCATGGTGGACATGGTACCTGGAAGCCCACGTGTGTGGAGAGCTTCTCTGACATCCTCCTCTGGTCGCTTTGCTGTCCGAGACATGAGACAGGCCGTTGCTGTGGGCGTCATCAAGGCTGTGGACACAAAGGCTGCTGGAGCTGGCAAGGTCACCCAGTCTGCCCAGAGGCTCAGAAGGCTAAATGAATATTACCCATCACACCTGCCACTCCAGTCTTAATCAGGGGAGGACGAACGGTCTCAGCGCTGTTTGTCTCAATTGGCCATTTAAGTTTCATAGTAAAAGACTGGTTGATGATAACAATGCATCGTAAAACTTTCAGAAGGAAAGGAATGTTTGTGGACCATGTTTCTTTTTTGTGTGGCAGTTTTAAGTTATTAGTTTTTAAAATCAGTACTTTTTAAAAGGAAAGCAACTTGACCAAAAATTTGTCACAGGATTTTGAGACCCATTAAAACAAAGTTTAATGAGAAAAAAAAAAGGTAGGAACCTTCCCACTCAGTCTCTCTGTCCCTAGATTTTAAGCTAGAGATGCTTCACTTTCAAACGAGAGGGCTTCCTCTTCTTAAAAAAAAACCAAAACCCTCAGATCTGTCAAAAGAAGAATGTGGGCCAGTTGTGACTTACCTGATATAGAGAAGGGAATGCATCTTTCTGATGCTTTAACCTGTTTTAGAGCTTAAATTCTGAGCAACAGGTATACAAAATGTGTTTGTCTCTATATTATTTGTTCTGCGTTTTACTGTCTGTCTTGTGGTTATCAGTTTTCCTCTTACAAGCATGGGATCAACCTAAGGAAAACATCAGTCCACCCTGCTGATCTCATGCTGGCCCACTGGCCTCTGTGGAAGAGGGGAGCTGCCTCGTATGGGGAGACAATCAATCGTAGTACCTTGCAGACCCTCTGTTCCTAGGACTGGCCACAGTTTGACCTTGGGTGGCTTCTAAAGGCACTTTCATTCTTTCACTTCGTTACCCTATCCGAGCTCTCCTTTTAGGTAAGTTCATGGAAAAGCTGGCCCTGCAGCTGCCTAGATCACCCTTAGGATTGATACTGTGGAGTCCACACCTCCCTGGGTAAAAACCCTTCCCCAAGTCCTTGTGACCTCTGTCCCCTGTACCCGGACATGGGTATCTGCCTGGGAGAAACCTGTCCCTGTCGTACAAGAGTCCAGCCCGGAAGACTTTCCACCCCCTTATCCTATCCCGGACAGACCGCCCGCTTTCAAGACCCACAGGGACCCAGGCTGTCTCCATCCAACCCTGACCCTAAAACTCAAACTTTTTCCCCATCCCATACCCGAGATGGAGCTCGTTGTAATCCCAGTCCCCCAACCGCACCTATTTTACCTGTACGTGAGATAGGACCACCTCCAGGAGCCTAGCCAAGATGCCCTTTCATGATTTATGCTCCTTTTTCTACCTCTGACCTTATAATTGGAAACAACAGAATCCACTTTTTTCTACTGACCCACAGGGCTTGATTTCACTTTAAGAATCCATCTTTTCTACTTATCAGCCCACATGGGATGACTGTCAGCAACTGCTTCAGAGTTTTTACAGTCGAAGAATGAGATCAAATACACAAGGAGAGCCTGAAGCAAGTCCTGGGGGCGGATGGATGGCCCGGACCCCCAGGAATTGGAAATGGTGTTCCCTTTGTGTAGCCCTGCCTGGGACCTGAGCTGCCCTGAAGGTAGGGAAAACCCCCTCTTCTACCACCAGACTCAGATGCGTGGTCTCCGGGAGGCTGCACGCCGTCCTATCAATTTGTCCAAAGTTACTAGTGTGATTCAGGGCAAGGAAGAGAGCCCGGCCACCTATTTAGAAAGGTTGTTTGAGGCCTACCAGCTAAATACCCCAATAGACCCAGGAGCACCAGACAACCAAAAAGCTGGTATCCGAGCTTTTGTGACCCAGGCTGCCCCAGGCATCTGGAAAAAGCTTCAACAACTAGAAAGATTTGCAGACGAAAATATTAGTGAGTTATTTGAAATGGCAGAAAAGACATAACAGTAGGGATCCGTGGAAGGAGAGGCCGGTTAAAGCAATGGCCAGAGTCCTCACCCAGGCAGCAGGAGGCCCAGGATCTCAGCTGGGACCAAACAAAAGGCAGAAATCAATATGCCTATTGCAAGGAAGAGGGACGCTGGGAATCTAACTGCCCTAAACAGCCTCAGCGGGAGAGGTCGACC